ACAATCGGAAAACGTTAAAGCCCTTTTCAACGTTTTGGAAAAACTAATAAATTTTTATAATCATTTCTAAATGAAATAAAATGGGTCTTTTTAGTAAGACGTATTGCTTAAGGGAGAAGNCCTGGGTATTCACAGAACCCTTATAAACTGGAAAGAAATGTTGTATGGCGATTGTGCTCACATTTAATGATAGGGCTTTCCATATTCTGTATTCTATTATATTCAATTTCTAGTTATTCACCCCCGCTAAAATAATATTCACCAATTTGCCTGTTGGTAGATATAATACATTAAGACTCAGACATTCACATTTCATCTTTCAATCAAGTAAGTTTTGCATCCAGTAACCATCCAAAGTAGTTTCCATTGTCGGACGAATTTTGATAGTTTTAATTTAGACGTTGAAGTTTAGTTTTTATTGATTAGAATAGAAGTTCAATTAAATGTTTTAAATAAAACAGTGAATTTTTATTCTTCATCGAAATCACGATGCAATTTAACTAGTTGCATAAAATTAATTTGGCGTGCAACGTACAACGTTTGTGCATGTACCTTTGCTGATCTTTGGCTCGAAGTCTTTCCAATTGACTATTCTAACAGATATCGATGATGTTCTACTTTTAACAAGCTTACGCCCCACAAATAATGCTTTTCGTGTTAAGTTTTAATTGTCCGGTTCCACTACCCCCATGAATTCGCCCATGTCGTACTCTATTTTGACTTTTTCAATGCTCTCGGGGTTACCCAGTAGTGTTCGACCTTCTTCTACGATCACCTTGTAGGCAGCGAGTTTCGTTTTAGGATTTGACATTGCTATCTATTCTCCACCGATGCACATTGTAGAAGTACTCGGATTTAAGTCAACTTCATATTTTTGAAGAAGGTCCAATCCAATGATGACTGTTATTGGCCACCAACACCCAACTATCGCATTTCCAATTCTAATTTCAAGTTGCATTCTCTATCGATTGGTGAAGTCTCCCCGGTAGCTGTAGTCAAAATCAGTCTTCTGGCCAAGGGTCGAATTTGCATTTCCAATGCCATATCCGGGCGAACGATGGTGTTGGATGCCCCTGTATCGATAATCACTCTAACATTGTGCCGATTTATAAAACCTTCTATAATGAGTTACCGCCGTCCTTACCTTACCTTCCACCAACTTATGTGCCCTAGTTTTCCGGAGTTCCAGCACTCCAAGCGACCATTGTAGATCGTGCAGTCTCGAACAAAATGACCAGTTCTTCCACATTTCCAACACCTTGAGCAGTTCTCCCATGTTTCTGGTAGTGCCTTTCTTCACATCGGAAAACGCATTCTCTGATGAGCGACATGTAACCTTATTTTGTAATTAAATTATTATCGATTTCTATTTATCGTACCCGTATATGGCCTTTGGAATATTTTTCGCGACTTCAAACTTCAGGGCGTGTGACAGTGCTTCGCTTGGAGTCTGGTGACGTGTTAATATTAGAACTTAAGTAAAGCAGTCCCTGTACCGCCAGTTGGTCTGTCAATTCTTCAGGGGCAGAGGGATAAGCTCCACATCTGACTCAAATTGTTGAAGTGTCTCGTAACTTCTTTGGTTACGACTTTTCAGTTGCGTCTGGTGTACCTGCTGTAGATTTTTATCGCAGTACTTCATTTCTAGGCGGGTAACAAGATGGTGTAAGTCATATTGTTGATACTCGAGCATTCCTTGAAGTATATCCAGCGCCTCTTCTCGTAAAGAAATTATTAGTGCTGTTGCTTTATCTGAATTAGTCCAGGAATTTGCCTGTGCCGCTACTCTAAACTGCTTCAGGTAAATAGATCACGTGATATTTCCATCGAATTTTGGAGGTGTAATTTTTGATGGTCTTGCACCAGGATCTTCAAGTCTTGAAGTGGAGGGTAGTTTTAGCCTTTCAATTTCTTCAATCATTTCTTCAATCTTATTTTCCGTTATGATTTTACTTTCTCCTATCTTCTATCCGTATTCATTTCCCTTTATTTGCCATATTGATTTCCTTTTCCTCTATCTTCTTTTCAGTTTCATTTCTACTACCATTTATCTTTCCCTCCATTCCCGTATTTATTGCTTCTTGCACCTTCTTTATTTCTGTTTTCATTTCTTCTTGTCTCATTTTCATGTCATCTTGCACTGATTTTATTCCTTGCTTCATTTCTTTCTGGCCCTTTTTCGTTTTTTCTTGTGCCTCTTCCATTTTGTTTCTTTTCTTCTTTGATGGAACTCTTTCAAAACATCGGATTTGTTCTCCTTTCTTTAAAAGCTTTCCATCGGTAGAAACTTCTAGAAACTTCGATGAAACTCTTTGACAACGTCAAAGGCCATAGCACGATAAGCATAGCGAATCGGCCCCAGAGGAATATCTGGGTAATTTTTTCAGGGGATATTGATACTAATGAGATACGTTAATTTTGAAAATTTTAGACCTCTATCTATTTTGGTTTTTGAATAAATTCAAAAAAACGAAAAATCAGAAAATAATTTTTTTCTCAAAAACGGCTCAATCGATTTAATTGAAATTNATATTTTCTAAGAGTAAGTATAAACCGCTTGTACATATATAGTTGGAATTAACGCATTTGTAAGTAAACAGTAATATTGTCAGCAAAATGAATTATTTCTTTGAGCAAATAACCTGTTTGGTTTATGATTTAAAGTGCTGATAAAACGAGTTGAACCATCGGTACAGTTATTTTACCAATAAAAGAATTTTATTTCCAAAGTTCATGTTGGAGGGAAAATTCAAGTTTAAACTGGCATAGCCTTGTCCACGCTCCATTTTGTTTCGACATTCTTGCGACATCTATTGAAAAAAAATTCAATAGACAAAAAACAATAGCTGCAAATTACACACACTTTTACAGAAAACGACGTTTTCAGTATTCTAGCGACATATCGTTTGATAAAATTCACTAAGCCATAGCTTTAAGCGGGAAATTCAAATAAATACATGTGAGACGACAATTTGTGACATTTTTTGGAACCTATCGCGAAGCGTTTCTGAACGATAGTCCACCAAAATATTCGAGGTACCTACAGCCTCTAAGCGAGAAAGTATTCAAAATGGATGGAAAGAATTGCCTTTACAGGGAGTGACACCATGATTTTTACCATTCTCGGAAACCCATATTGAGGTATTTATTAGAGATAGTCCAACAAAGAATATGAGGAAGCTACTGCTTCTAAACGCGATAGGAGGACCTAATAGATAGCCTAAACGGTCTTGAACAGTGTGAAACGACGATTTGTGACATTTTTAGGAATCTATCACAGAGCGTTTCTTAACGATAGTCCACTAAAATACTCGAGGTACCTACTGCCTCTAAGCGAGAAAGTAGATAAAATGAATGGCCAAAATCGCTTTTACTGGGTGTGATGCAATGATTTATACCATTCACGGGAAGGATGAAGTATTTATTAAATAGTCCACCAAAGAACATGAGGTACCTACTGCTTCTATACACGATAGAAGGACCAAATGGATAGCCTAAGTCGTCTTGAACGGTATGAGACGGCAAAAATCGCCTTTTCAGGGAGTGATACAATGATTTTTACCATTCTCGGAAACCCATATTGAAGTATTTTTTAGAGACAGCCCACCAAAGAACATGAGGAAGCTACTGCTTCTATACGTGATTGGAGGACCAAATAGATAGCCTAAACCGTCTTTGAACTGTGTGAGACGACGATTTGTGACATTTTTAGGAACCTATCGCGAAGCGTTTCTAAACAATAGTCCACTAGAATACTCGAGATACCTACTGCCACTAAGCGAGGAAGTAGATGAAATGGATGGCCAAACTCGCCTTTAGAGAGTGTGATGCGATGATTTATACCATTCTCGGGAACCTATATGAAGTATTTATTAGATGGTCCACCAAAGACTATGAGGTAGCTACTGCTTCTATACGTGATAGGAGGACCAAATAGTTGGCTTAATCGTCTCTGAACTGTGTGAGACGACGATTTGTCACATTTTTAGGAACCTATCGCGAAGCGCTTCAGAACGATAGTTCACTAAAATACTCGAGACGCCTATTGCCTCTACGCGGGAATGTATATGAAATGGATGGACAAGATCGCTTTTACTGGGTGTGATACAATGATTTGTACCATCCTCGGGATCCTATATGAAGTATTTATTAGAGATAATCCAACAAAGGACATTATGTAGCTACTGCTTCTATACGTGATAAGATGACCAAATGAATAGCCTAAATCGTCTTTGAACCGCGTGAGACGGCGATTTGTGGCATCTTCAGGAACCTATCGTGACGCGTCTTTGAAGCATCGTCCACTAAAATACTAGAGGTACCTACTGCCACTAAGCTAGAAAGTATATAAAATGGATGACCAAATTCGCCTTTACTGGGTGTGCCACAATGATTTATACCGTTCTCGGAAACCTATATTGAAGTATTTATTAGAGACAGTCCACCTAAGAAAATGAGATAGCTACTGCTTCTATATGTGATAGGAGGACCAAATAGATAGCCGAAATTTGTTTGCCGTGTTTCCACGAGCAGTATTTTCTCAGAATGTTTTTGGATAAATGACGAAAGTGAATAAAATTCCAATGTAAAACGAAACTATGTACACACTTTCTTTACAACACTTAAACATATTCAGAACATGAAGACAATGTAAAAACGGAAGACAAAATTAGCGACAAAAAATAGATCTGGTTAAGCTGGACGACAAAACTTAACCTTTTGAACTGAACTAAACTACTACAAAAATGGAATGAAATTAGACCTATAATATTACCACCACCAGTACCTACGAGAACAAAAGCTATAGAAAAGTATAGGAAAAGATCCAAAAATACATAGACATCATTACAGCGTAGTGCAATTAAATAAGGGTAGCTGACCGACGAAGCCTTCGTAGAATTTATCTATTGGGACCAAATGTTTTGAGAGGCCCCAACAGGGTGATATTTGTAATAATGTACATTTATACACTATAGCAGCCAATGCAGTAACTNAATACTTATATATTACTTTACTGGTGAAATATTTATTATCCTGTGTATTGTCCAACAAATAAAATTCCAAAAGGTGAACGAATGTAAAATAGAAATGGATGATCTGCAATAAAATATTTAGTCGGTTCCTCTTCGCTAACAGACGCCAGTGAAGCAACAAGTCCTAAAAATATTCAATGCAAAAATTATCAGACGAAAGTTTATACTTAATGCATTTCATGTTAAATATAATTTAATTTTTTCGTTTTAACTCTTTATTAAAGCACACAACAAATCAAAAAAACTGTTCATTAATTTATTCAAAATTAAATAATTTCCGAAACAATTGTCTAATAAGTTTGAATAAATACTTAACATTTTTTGATTCACAAGAATTGCACCTTAAAACGCAATGATCTATAATAAGGTTCTACAAATGTATTAACTTTTCTGAAATACTGCAATACTAAAAGCAATAATACTTGAGTGAGTATCTAGGAACATATTCAAAATTAACACTCACAAAAGGCACACACTATATATCAGGGTGTAACAGAAATAAGTGCCGAGCTTGCAGGTGGTAACAGAGCACTATAAAATGTTTGTATGCCCGAAGGTTCACTGTTTTCGATAAAAACATACTTGGAAGTACTAGTAAATTCAATTCCAGCCCTAGTAAAGAAACACAACCCTCAACGCTGCACGCAATCTTCTGGTGATTACCAGCATCAGTGTAATATTTGTTTTGTATTTTTTACTCATGTATTGTTTATTTGTTAAATTAACTGTTATTCGAATTTTAATATTAACAACACACCAACAGTTGTTACAGTAATGTGACATGATAAATATTTAAATGTTTGAACCATATCACCGCTGTGTGGATGAAGTCCTCGATTTCAAAGAAAACAATTCCTAAAATAGTACACGCGAAATATCAGGGAAAGTTGACTCCTCTAATGTGACAAATTTTGACAATTTTAAAGGGACAGTTGCCGCATCCTTTTAATTCTTATCATTTGCAGCGAATGCAAGCCCTGTTTGAAACTGATTTTCAGCCGGAAGTGGTTTTATGTCGACGGTTTCGAAAGAAAAGTGCTGCATAGCCCGTTTTATTCCATAGTATAGGCTTATTTAATTTTTTTGGTAAGTTTACTTACAACCACCCGCAAAAAGGTAACACGTCTTGGCAATACCTCAATGGTGGTGTAGAAATTTGCCTTAATAATACCTTAATGTTTACGTAAGTTACATCTTTTTTTTACTGTGTGCTGAGTGCTGCCTGTAATGTACTTATTTAATTTATTTTGTCTAAACATTATAATAATAAGCAATGTTTACATTCTTCATCCATGTTGCTGCAGAGTTTTTGTCACACTACTGTATTCGGTAGATACCTATGTTGTTAATTAACGCACAGGGCCGGCTTCGATTTTCTTAAAAATTTTTTTGTTCCTTAATCACGCTACCTTACTCACCATGGGATTTCTTATTGCATCTAGTTTACACCCTCCAAAGCTCGACATTTATTTATGTACACTGTATTTACATTTATATTTATTTGCACCATTTCGTCGTTCTATATTTATTCGATGAATTATCAGCAAGAAACGTGCTGGTGAAAGGATAATTCGCCACATTTATTTGAACCTCATTGCTCTTTTGGGTACTGAAGTACTGAAAATATCACTCGGTAGACCGAAAAGATGTTTATAGTTTGAAAGTATATGTAAATGTAGACGATTTTATTTTAAAATACAGTGTTGTTAATTTTGTCATTGGTTCTTTGTAAAATTAAAGATAATTTTGATTTCGTTTTTGAGTATACTACCACAAATTCAAGAGTTCATTCATTTTTTTTTATCTTCAAAATTTTCTATCGGTGCAGATTTTAATAAAGCTAAAGTAGGAATGTTTTTATACGAAAGCATGTCTGTAGCCTCTCCTCTTTATTT